GCATAATGGCATAATGGCATAATGGCATATTGTCTTTTCTTTTCTTCAGCTGATTCTGAGCAGTTGATCGGGTTTACCCATAATTTGCCATGTCTTGGCAAGTTTTCTATTGTGACAGTAAAATTAATCTTTTAATTATTTCAAGGTGATTGTTTAAGCATTTCAATTGCTGAAACGATTAAGATGGTCTATGTTTTGTTCCCCGTGAAATCGGCCTGGTGCCTGGACTACAATGGCCATATAGAATGAAATTAAACATTGTTTTAAGTATGGAAAGAAGGGTAAGAATTAGGCCTAGGGGAATATAAGGTTATTTTTTTAAACAACTTCCTTTGAATTTGAAGTCTTAACATCAAACTATGTGTGGAATCTTTGAAGATGGAGCCTATTTTATGTTGAAACGGGAAAAATATTGTGATTTTATTTTGTCTGTTTTAATGTGTCTTGCTGTAAAATTATTCCCTTTCTGACTGATACATTGGGTCCTAATCCTTTGTACCATGAATTCAACCTCTACATATTGAAAATCCCTTTACAATAGATAAATCTAATAGATCTAAGCTCTCTTCCTTTTCCCTGAAATGCATGTGAGCTAAATGGCCAGATATTGTCACATTTTGCTTTCCAATCTGTTTGCAAGTTAAAAACAACTGTATAAAAAAAAACATAATATTACAATTGGTGCCCAGTTGTTCTGTGCCCAATAGCTCCATTTATCGTTCCTTTCATGTAGAACATTTCTTTTGTTCAGTACAGGTAGTTCTCGACTTACAATCTCATTCCTTTAGCGATGGTACAACAGCACAGAGAAAGTGATTTATGACTTTTTCACACGTATGACCCATGGTCACATGATTAAAATTTGTGGGCTTGGCAACAGGCATGTATTTATAGCAGTTATGACTGTCTTGGGATCGTGTGATTCCTCATTTGTGACTTTCCCAGCTGGCTCCCGACAAGCAAAGTCAAAGGGGGAAGCTGGGTTCACTTAACCACTGCATGAGTCTCTTAACAGCTGCAGTGATTCGCTTAACAACTCTGGCAAAAAGATTGTAAAATGGGGCAAAATTCATTTAACAACTGCCTTGGTTAGCAGCGGATATTTTGGGCTCAGTTGTGACTAATTCGAGGGCTACCTGTACAGCCAGCAAGAGACAAACTCTTTCAATCACTGATTTAATGAAGTCTCCCTTCTCTTAACAAAAACCAGTTTAAACCATTCCTCAGGTTTATGGAATCATATCTGTCATTATTAAATCCTTCTGCTACTTAATGCATAGTAGTTTTGAGTGTCAGGCAGCATCCAAGTTTAATAATTTACTAATTGGTGTAATTGAGCTAGCATTTTTTTTTTGGTGTTAACAGCACATAAAGAAGAGCAGAAGGTTGAGGATAAACCAGGAGAGCCTCCTATGAAATTGAAGAAAACTGTTGGACCCACATCGGTGGTTGAGAAACACGTGACTTCTCAAGCAAGAAGTGTGGTCCTGAAGAAGCCCTTGCCGTTTCCCAGCACTTCACTTATTAAGGCCCCAGTGAAACATTCAGCGGCAGATTTTAAAGGGGTCATCCCTAAGAAGTCTTCGCTTGCCACAGGTTCTCCTGCTTCAGGTGGCCTTTCGTCCTCACGGCCACCTTTGTCCTCCTACGGAGCCCATCCCATGCCTAAAAAACCATTCCCTCCCTCCAGCGCAGGGGCAGGGCTTAAGAGACCTGTGATGTCTTCTGCCTCTTCTTCAACCACCCCCTTGCCTCCACAAGCCAAGCTAGCTGCCAGCGCCGGCCAGTCACAGCCTAATTCCCAGATTCGACAAAACATACGGAGGTCTCTTAAAGAAATTTTGTGGAAAAGGTAAGAACGCTGATGTTTAATAAATTTGATGTTTAATAAATTTATAGGCCGCCCAATCCCGAAGGACTCCGTGCGGCTTACAACAATAGTATATATTCCTGTTGAGAAGGAAATACTTTAAGGTTCCATGTTAAGGATTTTCGTTTCAGTACATTCTACAGAAAGGAAAAGCGGTTTGGTTGATACTTAGCTGCTTTAAATTGTCCTAAGCAGCACTTTCATCAAAGTTTACAGTTCTTTTAAATCAAGCATTTCTCAATCATGGCAGCTTGAAGATCTNATTTGCGTTCTTGCACTGGAATATGCAAGAACGCAAGTATCCCTGTTACTTATAAAAATGACCCCTTTTTTATGTATGAATCCAGGATATAGAAAACAAGACCCCTAGTTGTTGTTTTTTTAAAAACCCCACTACCAGATACACACAGTAAGTAGCAGCACCCACCAACTGGTCTGGGTTAGGCTGGTTAGAACTGCCAGGAAGACAGCTGTGTTTAGACAAACTGGGAAATTAAAAAGTAGCCCCAGAGAAGGGCATATAAAGCTGCATTTCTACTGTCGCCAAGAAAACTGCATCTATATATCCATCTTTATCTTTATTTTCAGGTATTTGCAAAATATATTCTGCTTCCAGTGATTGCAATAGTTTCTGCACAGGAACAAATGTGGTACCAGATAAGTTGCTTGGCACCCACCAAACCTTCTACCTTATCCAAACATTTTTGTTTCTTCCTTTCTTAAATTCCTGCAAGTGCCATCAAGAAATTCTAATCAATGAAACGATGTGTGGTACAAAAAAGAAAAAGATTGTGTGGTTGAGAGAGAGAAAGATGGTACCATGCAGCTTTATCAGTTGGATGTATAGTTGGACCTATTTCAAGTGGGCTTTTTAAGACCAGGTTGCAAAAATAGTTTTCCTTAGGCCAGAGATGAATAAAATCCACTTTTTTTGGCTCCAAGGGTATCTGCAATGTGTGCGTGTGTGTATACGTGTGTGTGTGTGTGTGTGTGTGCGTGTGTCTGTTGTAAAAGTCATAATGGCAGTAACAACCATGCAATCAAAGCTCTGTGGGTTGTAGCTATCATCTTGACTTCTCTTGATATCTCCACATGGATGCCCAGTATATCCCTGGAGTACGATAATTTTGAAGCACAGTAACACCATTTACCATTATCTTGCTACAGGCGCAAATCCCCTAAAATAAGCTTAACAAACCAACAAAAAGCCAAGAGGCTTTCCTCTCCTACAACAAAGGAAGAAATTGAAAATCCATCCACTCAGCCTTCTCACCACACTTTACGGTAGTATTGTCCCTCCAAAATGCAGTCCCTAAATAGCTGCCCACTTTTGCCTACAGAAAATCATTCTCCCTCAGGCTGAGGTGGTAATATGGGAGATGTGGGGGTGGGGCAATTATATTGAACTTGTTCACCACATTTAGGATTTGTTATAAGGATTGCTACTAAGTAACAAACGTAGATTTCAGTATTTCAATATTACGGGCATGTAGAAATGTTATAAATCATTAGCAACGAAAATGGGGAAAGAACTAGAAAGCATGAAAATTTTAGATCCGTGTTTCTCAACCTCAGCAACTTCAAGATGCGCCGAGTTCAACTTCCAGAATTTTCCACACTGGATGGGAAAGTCCACCCATCTTAAGAGTTCCAAAGGTTGAGAAACACTGGCTTAGATTCAGCAGATATTAAGCAAATAAAGAATAAATCCAGGAAACAAATTGCCCAGTTGGATATTTTGTCCTTTGGCTTAACCTAAATTATTTCATGGGGCTACTGGGAAAATAAATAAGGGGGGACGAGAGAATCACAAATGCCCTTCCCCCCAAAAAAAATCCACAGAAAAGGACACAATAAACTAATCTTTAATATTCGCATTCATCATACATTGATCTAGCCTATCCTGTTATATATGTCATTCTTACCTGAGGAAGCCTATCCAGTGTTCTTCATTTACTGGAATGTACACCTGGTCTATACCCTGCACCACAGCTCCATCTTTGATCCACAGCATCTCTGGTTCTTCCATTCCCTCCAGGCTGCAGTTGAGCTTCACTGGCTGCCCCTGGGACACGGTCAGTTTGATTGGCATTCCAACCCCTTTTGCTTCTGGAAAGAAGAAAGGAACCTCCCGCCCATCCGTGCTCCCAGGTAGGGGAGCAAGGAGGTTGGGAGTACAGCAGATCAATCAAGGTTTCTGATCTGTAGGGTGATACAGTCAAAGAACTAAATGCACAACCGCTTCAATGCACCTCATCTGAAGCTTTTTATATATGTATTGGGATAATTACAGGATACGAACACTGAATTTCCAGTTAGGAAATGGCAAAGGAGAATAAAACTATGCAGGACAATGTGCTAATTTGGAAATCAGCAGGGTGAAGCCCAGTAGCAATTTTTCAGCAGTACAGGCAGATGAATTAGGTAGCCTTGCAACACTGCACAGTTAATGTTTTTGAAAGAATTATTCTCAGAACAATAGTACAATTCCACCAAAATTCCCTCTGGAGGCTTTTTGATTCCCAGGTAATATTCATTACTTTAAAGAAAGCACAGCTTTGAACTATTTCTATGGGGAGTAAAAGGAAATCATTCACATAGGGAGTCATTCAGCTCACAGCTTCTCTTAATTGCAAAAGCTTCTGAACTATGTGAAAACTCTATGGATGGAAAAGCATGGTTGAATGCTTAGCCCTGAAAGGAAAACAGCCACTTTCAGAACATCTCTCTCTCTCTCTCTCTCTCTCTCT